TGCTCTGTTTCATCCTGTGGAGTTGAGAACCGGATAAGCGCTTATCTGTTTAACTGTCTTTATCTGCTGAATGAAGTTACTAAAACAGTTCCTACTGTCATAAACTTTTCACATTGCATCAATATAGATGCAATACCAGATCAGTGCCTTGTGTCTGTATGTTTAAAATTTTTACACATGTGCATGTTCTGTTATCTCAAACCCCCAGTCAGTTCCTGCAGATTGACGCTAACACTGAGCTAGGTTCAGGTTTTGCAAGAGTTTGTTTCTCTTTGTTGTCACTACATCAGTTTAAAGTGATGTAACGAGTAAATATCTACTGACAATTATTTGACTTGATCACATAGGTTTGCTTTAAGAGAAACGTTTTACCAATTTTGTTGTAAATATTGGTTGTAAATTGCTGCTGGATTTAATATATTCTTCAACACTTAGTGTCTTTGCTTCTCATTGCATCTGTATGCTTCTATGCACAAAGCATTTTTAGTTAATTTTTGGTTCAAGCAAACAGAGTACTGATTGCAGAATGGCTTGATTCTTGTTGTGCAACACATTATGGACAACTTTAGTGAATCCATAAATGAAGAAATTAAAGAATATTGGATAAGATTTCCTCATCTGAGATTTTGCTCAGAGGGAATATACATCAATTAAATTAAGTATCTTTGTCCAGAACATACAGAATTGAGAAGCTTGGTGACTTATAACCTAGGAAGTATAAAACAACCTTCCTGATTTTTGACAATGAAAATCCCACTTATGACTGTTTATAACAGGCAAGAATAGAAGTTAAACAAGAGAACAACAACCTATTATGTAGTGCTAAAACTCTTATAAGAAAAAAATAATAATTTGCACAAGCATGGATTTTACCTGTGTTACAAGATAGTCGTCATGGAGGGAGTTGGTGAGGAGAGCGGCCACAAGAAAGACGAAGTTGAAGACTATGGAGTAAAAATAATAATATTACGGCGTTAAAACAAAAGTATGTCAAGGTGTTGCAAAATAGCAGAAAAAAATGAAAGCCAAAAAACTCTAGACAGACTAATTTATCTAATTTAATCACACATTACTGAGCAGTGCCATGAAGTGATGATGGGATGGAGTTATCCAGTAACTCTGCAGCTCAATATTGGTATTGCTGAATGGTTGCAATGGGACATTAACAGATTTCTCAAATATGAATCAAAGAATCAAAGCAATATTCCATTATATTTTAGATGAGGGAAATAATATTACGACTTGATGTAAAACTCAAAAAAGTGCCCCCCTGTCCTCAATTATCACAGGCATTTAAGCTTGATGCGTTCACTAGCATAAATATAAATATCTTCTCAAATCACTGAATACTTTATCATAATTTATTTGTTAGAATTCTCTGTCTCTGAGACAGAGAATTATGTACACTCTGACCTGTGATATAAAGATATCCTTTGTTATCAAATCACTGTAAAATATATACTCAAATGAAATTTGAATGAAGTCAGCATCAACTCAGCTAACTTACTGACAGCTGAGATTGGGGATGCATGCTAAGTGGGAAGTGAAGGTTTTTATGGTACAAAGTGTAACTATATTGCCACTCATTAAACAAAATCACCGTTATAACAATTTAGATTCTCTTTGCACTTTTCATTGCTTGTTACATTTCAATGCCATCTTGGGTGTGGATGGAAAAAGGATGTTACGTCATCATCATCATCACAAAATGACCTGAAGGTTGTCCACGTATCACGCTAAATTGTCAACGTTTGATTTTTCATTTTTCTTGTTTTTGTAAATCATATTGTTAGTACATACTATAAGTTGGGTTAAGAATAAATAAATATATGTTTGTAAATCCAAGTAGACAGTTTCCAAATGTTAAAAACAAGAATTGATAATTCTCAAAAGACCTAACTTAGGTCCAACACACTGAACTGACCTGTGGGTCCATAGGGTGCAATCAATAAGAGACAGTAGGCATTATCAGCTGATGTCACACAGCTCTACCTTTCTGAGTGTCCTAAATTGACACTAAATGTAACAATATTATTTCATAATGCTGCAGAAACTATTTCAAAATGGCTTAATTTTGAACAGCCAGATTTTCCCCTGCCTTCACCATTTGGCATTTAGTGGCTCTCACTGTGGCTTGCTGGAGTCCCAATGCTTCAAAAATGACTTTGTAACTCTTTCCAGACTGAGAGATCTCAGTTACTTTCTTTGAGAAATTGATTTGGATCTCGCCACGATGTCAAGCTTTTATGGATATTTCAGTGTACTTCACTTTCTCAGACAGGTCTAACAGTCACAACTACGTGCAGTGAACTCCGGTGTGATGAACCACAGTGAAATTATGTTGTAACAGGCAATCACTTTTTTTTTTTACACAGGGTCATGTAGGTCTGATTTTTTTTCTTCCATTGATAAACACTTGAATTTAAAAACTGCATTTTATGTTTACTTATGTTGTCTTTCACTGATATTTAAATAGGTTTGATGATCTATACTATATTCAGAGGGAGGAAATTGCAACAAGGGTCAATATGATGAGGAGGATGAAATAATTCATTGTGAAAAGCATTGGGTAAGTTGAGAAAAATTTAAACAAGACATGAGGAAATATGATGCGGAGACATTAAAAATGACAAAGATATTAGTTCAACATGACAAGATAAATAGAGTAGTTATTAACTTTTTAAAGGAAACAGCATTTTATACATACATACATACGTACGTAAGTATGTATGTATGTATGTATATATATATATAAGAATTTAGGTTAGGTTAATATTCTGGTCCACACTTCAGCACAGAAGGGAAATCCATTTTTAAAAGTAAAGGAATAGAAATATGGCAATAAAGCTGGAATGAGGAGGAGAAAGGAATAATATAAAGTACAAAAGTCAGTATTAATTAAAAAATGTTACTGAAAGAAACAAAAGGGAAGAAATAATAATGATCAGATTAAGAATAGGTCATAGGATATTTAAATGACATTTTTTCCTCCCAATAGGGAGGAAAAAATAATGATAAATGTGAACAGAAACAAAAAGTATTGATGAATTGTTGGAAGGACAGGACATGAATAGAGTATTAAAGGAATACCAGGAAATGAAGGAAGCATAGTGGATATTTACAGATTAAGGAAAACAATATTTAATTATCTTCAGAATACAAAATTTAAAAATAGAATTTAACAGATGTAAAGTAAATGTGTTGCATACTCGTGTACAGTAGGTGGCGATATGTACCTTAAAGTTGCTTGCGATCCGCCATAATAGAGAAAAAGAAGAAGAAGAAGAAGCCACTTCCGGCGCTGGATTCTGTGTTTCTGCTAAAACGTCCGTCTTTTACATCTTGGAACTGGATGAAAACTTGATATAGACTTGGCAGTAAGTTGCTTGGCATTTAGGCTGCTTGGACTCTTTTTGTCAATGATTTTAAGTCATTTTGTCTCTTCTACCACTTCCGCGTTCGCGACATGGAACTTTTTGATAAGTTTTTGAAAAAAAAAACAAAACAAACTATTTAATATCCAAGATGGCGCCAGTGATTTTTTAAGGGTCCAAATCTGGTAAAATGCTATTGACCCATACTTATTTTCATAATATTTTGACTTTTTTTTATTTTTTTTTATTACAGAGCATTGAATGTATTTTTTAGGAATGACTTGAACCTTGCTGTGCAACATATTGTGAATGAATCAATGTAGAAGCCAATTCGTAATTAATGCTAAACTTGGAAATGAATTTAAATCTAGGATGTATTACTAGCTATCGATTTGATTTGTTAACTTCTGATTGATAGTCGCATTTTTTGTTTACATTACGTATAATTTTGTCTGTAATTATTTGTCCAATTATTAATAAATTGTCTCCTTATATTTTTCTAATTCAAATGTAATTTGTTTTTCCTGTTCATTCACCACAAGCTCTTTACTCCTAAGATTCAAATTTTAGCATTATATAAAACATTCTGAGACAAAAACTTGCTCAGAGTTGTCCAAAGAAGAGTCTTCATGTAATTTGTTCTTCATTTTCTGTAACTTAGCAGAAAATTCTCTGTTTAGTTACAGATAAAAATGAAAATAAGATCGGTATATCAAATTAATCTAAACGTGTTTTGGTGAATTGAGTTATTGCAATAAATAATCTGTCTGAATTAGAGGCATAAATATAAAAAATATAATTGTCCATCACAGGAAATCACCCTTATTATAATAATTTGAAACTCATAAACCACCAATAGAATCTTTATTGTTACCATATAAAATTCTATCAGAGATGTATTCTCTCTGAGTTACAGCTTTTCAAATACCTTATTACATGAGGAAAATACTTTAAAAAATAGGCAATAAAAAAGAATAAATATACAAATATTGCTCAAACAATTATATAATACATATAAAGTGTCCATTTTCAAAATACACTTTAAAGTGGTGAACATCTTCATTCTCTGATTTGCATTTCTCTGTACAAAGCATATAATAAAATTCTTCCAAGGAATATTCAGAAGTGGTTCAAAATTAAAAAAACAAACTGAATTAAGAGAGATTTTGTCTAAAAAACTAAAAGTAAGACAAATATTAAAAACAATTGTATTTTAATTAGTGGGATGTGTGTTGTGTGGAGTTAAAACTGTTTTTCATTAATTAAATAGTATATATGCAACTCATTTGCTAAACAAATACAATATGGTTTGATTATGTTTTACGGGTTTTCTACACTTAGCTGGAATTCCTTGGAGAGATGTTAGTATACAGGAAAAATGTTGCTGTTTTGACTTTGAAGTGAAGTTTAATAAGCTTGTGGTTCTACATTTTTATTGTAGAATAAAAATCTTTGGATCCCTTGTGTTCTTGACAAGAATTTAAATATTCATTTGTTTCTGTTCTAGTTTTGTTTAATTTTTTCAGCAGTTTTTTTTTTTTTGTTGTTAGTTTTACATATACAGGTTAAAATTGACCAAAAATAAATAAATAAATACATTTGGAGACATATTCAGCTCATGTCATTTACCAATGCTTAAATATAAAGTGAGACTCAGATTATGGTTAAAGAAACTTAACCATAATAAAATTATACTATCACTGAAGGCTCCCTTGAAATGATTCAAGTTCCCTCTGCGTTTTTAAGTTATTACTAAGTAAGGGCTGGTCTGGCCTTGGGTCTTGGCGTAAGGGTTTTTGGCTCGGAGTGGGCCATAAGGGCTGATTCTGGCTTGGACCTCCTCGTAGGGGATGCTCCTAGTTGGACTCTGGGAAAAAGGAAACATGTCATCTTGGATGTTGCTGAATCTCTGCAAGAGAAGAGAAAAGAAAGAGAGATTATAATTTGTGAGTGAACAGAACAGATGTTTGTCTTCACGGCGTCTCGTGCAGAGGTGTACTCACCGTGTTCCTCCCTGAAGGAATCAAGCTTTGTCGGCTGTTGCTCGGAGTCAGCTCAGAGCTGGATCTACTGTCCCAGTTGTTGCTGAGATTGGCCCGTGGGATAGGCGGGGCCGCAGAATTTACCGGGCTGTTTGCTGGTTCTTTGATCAAGCCTGAAAAGCCATTGCCACTGCTGTCAGATGGTGGACCCTTGGCAGAAGAAGGGATTTGGTAGGCTTTCCAAAAGTCTTTCTCTTTTCTCTTGAAGAGTTTCCTCCTGTATCTGTACAAAAAAAAAAAAGACAATAATTGCAAATTCGTCTGTTCTACTGTGTTGTGTTTATTGTTAGATTTTGTAAAACCAGTACTAATTAATTTTCTAAATTACCTAATTTTGAAAAGACTTAGCACACTTAACATAGCTTACAGTCTAATACAAAGGTTAGAAACTAACAAGACAAAGTTGAATAAAAAAATAACCGGGGCGATAAATGGATAGCGTTCAAACTTACTTTTTTACGACCAGGAGCAGAGTGATCACTAACGCGAAGAGCAGGCATCCGAGTATAGAGGAGACGATCACAAAGATCAACCACCAGTCTAACAACAGAGAAGAAAGCATTAATGAGTCTAAGGCTCTGCATGGTCTTGCTACAACAGGATCACGTAAAATTTTTGCAAGCATTTCGCCTCAATATTTTGAAGAGTTATTTAAAAGATTGTATGATAGCTTTTGAAATAATATTTAGAGAAAAAAGAAAGAAGGCTGAATCTTTAAAAGATTTGCATGTATAAAAACCAAATCTCATACTACCAAAGCGCAAAGAATATTGTTTGCAAAATGAGCATCAGAGCAGACACAACCCATTTAACACTTATGCATTCATGAATATGGAGAACATATGCTGAACATCAAAACATGTAAAATATTAGGAGGACGTGCAAATTGTCACATTCCTAAAATAATGCCAAAATACCGTAAGTTATTTATTTATTTTTACCAAAAGTGATTTTGGCAAAAGAAAAGACAAAAAAGAGAAACATGACCTCCACTTTTTTGCCAGAATATAATTTGGGGGGAAAAAACACAAATGACAAAGGGATCCCTTGTATCTTTTGTATTTATCATTTTTCAAAGTTTAATTTTGTCAAAGCAAAGATTAGTGTTGCTCCAGACTTAAAGACTCGTCTTGTTTTTTGTCCAGCAGTAAAACAATTACAAACTGTCTTCTCATTTCCTCTGTCAGCCTCTCCCAAGTGGTGCTCAAAGTTGCTCTGAGCAACTTATTTAACTATTTCTCTTTAACATTCCTGACTCTTTATATCTATTTATTGCAAAATTTGTTCCTTTTGTTTTACTTATCAATATTCTTTACAGAATTTATTTTAAACATGTCATCGTTAACATAGTGATCATGAATTTTCACAAGCATTTTTTAGTGCCCACTGAATACTTTGTGCCCAAGTATTCTACCCACAAGATTTGGTGTATAAACCATGTTTGTGGAGGGCTGGAACTGCTTTCATATATTGAAATGTAAAAGAGACACCAAAAACACTGAGGTTATTGATTTGTGAATAGATAAGTCTGTTTTCTGAACAATTTCTGAAGACAATAAGACATGTTGCCCAGATGAACAATTCTCTACAATTAGTTATAAGAAGCGCAATATTGTTGCATTACATTAAGATACTTACCATTTTGACAACCATGAGGACCATAAACCTCACCAGCCTTACACAAGCACACGTAAGTCTGGTCAACACGTTCTTCACAAGTGCTTCCACCGAGACATGGGTTTGAAGCACATGCACCTTAATAATTAAGACAAGAACCAAAAGAACACCATGTAAGAATTTCAGCTATTAGGTAAGTTCTTAATCATTTGCATAATTTATATTTATAAATTTATTCATACATTTAAAAATAAAGTAACATACCGGGAGGAACTGTTGTCGTTTGGCCTACTTCTGTGGTGTTTGATGAAGTAACTGTGGTAGAAGGTGTGCCTGTGACAGGTGTCATGGAGGAGAGGGTGTCTGTGACAGGTGTCATGGTGGAGAGGGTGTCTGTGACAGGTGTCATGGTGGAGAGTGTGCCTGTGACAGGTGTCATGGTGGAGAGGGTGTCTGTGGGAGGTGTCATGGTGGAGAGTGTGCCTGTGACAGGTGTCATGGTGGAGAGGGTGTCTGTGACAGGTGTCATGGTGGAGAGTGTGCCTGTGACAGGTGTCATGGTGGAGAGGGTGTCTGTGACAGGTGTCATGGTGGAGAGTGTCCCTGTGGAAGGTGTTGTGGTAGAGGGTGTGCCTGTGACAGGTTCTGTGGTAGAAAGTGTGCCCATGGGAGGCGCTGTGGTAGAATGCGTGCCTGAGGGAGGTGCTGTCGTGGAGAGTGTATCTGTGGGAGGCACTGTGGTAAAGAGTGCACCCGTGGGAGGCACTGTGGTAAAGAGTGCACCCGTGGGAGGTACTGTGGTAGAGAGAGTGACTGTGGGAGAAGCTGTGGTAGAAAGTGTGCCTGTGGGAGACTCTGAGGTAGAGAGTGTAGCTGTGGGAGGTGCTGTGGTAGCAAGTGTTCCGGTGAGAGGGGCTGTGGTAGAGGGTGTGCCTGTGACAGTTGCTGTGGTAGAGGGTGTGCCTGTGACAGTTGCTGTGGTAGAAAGTGTGCCTGTGGGAGGCACTGTGGTAGAGGGTGCATCTGTGGGAGACTCTGAGGTAGACAGAGCATTTGAGGGAGGCTCTGTGGTAGAGGGTGTGCCTGAGACAAGTGCTGGGGTAGAAAGTGTGCCCATGGGAGACGCTGTGGTAGAAAGTGTGCCTGAGGGAGGCGCCGTGGTAGAGAGTGCATCTGTAGGAGGCTCTGTGGTAGAGAGTGTGGGTGTGGGAGGCGCTGTGGAAGAAACTGTGCCTGTGGGAGGCGCTGTGGTAGAGAGTGTACCTGTGGGAGGCACTGTGGTAAAGTGTGTGCCAGTGGGAGATGCTGTGGTAGAGGGTGTGTCTGTGACAGGAACTGTAGAAGAGGGTGTTCCTGTGGGAAGCACACTAGCAGAAAATGTTGTTAGCTTGGCTGTGGTTGGAAATCCATTAGAGGTTGAGGATGACTCTTGCGTGGCTGTGTTTAGAGATCCTGTAATTGTTGTCATTTCAGCTGACGATGTGGTTGGAGCGCTTTCAGTGCTTGTGATTGGAGCAGGTGTGGTGATAGTTGGTTCTACTGTATTGGTCGTTGGTAGAACTCCTGAAGTCGTTTTTATTGCAGCTGGAGTGATTTTGGTTGGAGCCACTGTGGTGGTTGTTGGAACTGCTGTAGTTGTGGTTGGCGCTGCAGTTATTGTTGTTGGAGCTGCTGTAGCTGTGGATGGAGCTGCAGTTGTTGTTGCAGCTACTGTCGTTGTGGTTGGACCTGCAGTGGTTGTGGTTGGAGCTGCTGTGGTTGTCGTTGGAACTCCTGTAGTTGTGGTTGACGCTGCAGTTATTGTGGTTGGAGCTGCTGTGGTTGTGGTTGGAGCTGCTGTGGTTGTGGTTGGAGCTGCTGTGGTTGTGGTTGGAGCTGCTGTGGTTGTGGTTGGAGCGACTGTGGTTGTGGTTGGAGCTGCAGTTGTTGTTGGAGCTGCTGCAGTTGTGGTTGGAGAAGCTGTGGTGGTTGTTGGAACTGTTGTGGTTGTGGTTGGAGCTGCTGTGGTTGTTGTTGGAGCTGCTGTGGTAATGACTGCAGCTGCTGTGATGGTCGTTGGATCTGTTGTGGTTGTGGTTGGAGCCACTGTGGTTGTGGTTGGAGCCAATGTGGTGGTTGTTGGAACTTCTGTAGTTGTGGTTGGACCTGCAGTTGTAGTTGGAGCTGCTGTAGTTGTGGTTGGAGCTGCAGTGGTTGTGGTTGGAGCCACTGTGGTGGTTGTTGGAGCTGCAGTGGTTGTGGTTGGAGCCACTGTGGTGGTTGTTGGAGCCACTGTGGTTGTGGTTGGAGCCAGTGTGGTGGTTTTTGGAGCTGCTGTAGTTGCGGTTGGAGCTGCAGTGGTTTTGGTTGGAGCCACTGTGGTGGTTGTTGGAGCTGCAGTGGTTGTGGTTGGAGCCACTGTGGTTGTTGTTGGAGCCACTGTGGTTGTTGTTGCAGCCAATGTGGTGGTTGTTGGAGCTGCTGTAGTTGTGGTTGGAGCTGCAGTGGTTGTGGTTGGAGCCACTGTGGTTGTTGTTGGAGCCACTGTGGTGGTTGTTGGAACTGCTGTAGTTGTGGTTGGAGCTGCAGTGGTTGTGGTTGGAACTGCAGTAGTTGTGGTTGGAGCCACTGTGGTGGTTGTTGGAACTGCTGTAGTTGTGGTTGGCGCTGCAGTTATTGTTGTTGGAGTTGCTGTAGCTGTGGATGGAGCTGCAGTTGTTGTTGCAGCTACTGTCATTGTGGTTGGAGTTACTGTCATTGAAGTTGGACCTGCAGTGGTTGTGGTTGGATTTGCTGTGGTTGTGGTTGGAACTGCTGTAGTTGTGGTTGGAGCTGCTGTGGTGGTTGTTGGAACTGGTGTAGTTGTGGTTGGACCTGCTGTGGTTGTGGTTGGAGCTGCTGTGGTTGTGGTTGGAGTTTCAGTGGTTGTGCTTGGAGCTGCAGTGGTTGTGGTTGGAGCTGCAGTGGTTGTGGTTGGAGCCACTGTGGTTGTTGTTGGATCCACTGTGGTGGTTGTTGGAACTGCTGTAGTTGTGGTTGGAGCTGCAGTGGTTGTGGTTGGAGCTGCAGTGGTTGTGGTTGGAGCTGCAGTGGTTGTGGTTGGAGCTGCAGTAGTTGTGGTTGGAGCCACTGTGGTGGTTGTTGGAACTCCTGTAGTTGTGGTTGGAATTGCAGTGGTTGTGGTTGGAGCCACTGTGGTGGTTGTTGGAGCTGCTGTAGTTGTGGTTGGAGCTGCTGTAGTTGTGGTTGGAGCTGCAGTGGTTGTTGTTGGAGCTGCAGTGGTGGTTGTTGGAGCTGCTGCAGTTGTGGTTGGAGCTGCTGTGGTAATGACTGCAGCTGCTGTAATGGTCGTTGGATCTGTTGTGGTTGTGGTTGGAGCCACTGTGGTTGTGGTTGGAGCCACTGTGGTGGTTGTTGGAGCTGCAGTGGTTGTGATTGGAGCCACTGTGGTTATGGTTGGAGCCACTGTGATGGTTGTTGGAGCCAAGGTGGTTGTGGTTGGAGCCAATGTGGTGGTTGTTGGAACTGCTGTAGTTGTTGGAGCTGCTGTAGTTGTGGTTGGAGCTGCAGTGGTTGTGGTTGGAGCTGCTGTGGTGGTTGTTGGAACTTCTGTAGTTGTGGTTGGACCTGCAGTTGTTGTAGTTGGAGCTGCTGTAGTTGTGGTTGGTGCTGCAGTGGTTGTGGTTGGAGCCAGTGTGGTGGTTTTTGGAGCTGCTGTAGTTGTGGTTGGAGCTGCAGTGGTTGTGGTTGGAGCCACTGTGGTGGTTGTTGGAGCTGCAGTGGTTGTGGTTGGAGCCACTGTGGTTGTGGTTGGAGCCACTGTGGTGGTTGTTGGAGCTGCTGTAGTTGTGGTTGGAGCTGCAGTGGTTGTGGTTGGAGCCACTGTGGTTGTGGTTGGAGCCACTGTGGTGGTTGTTGGATCCACTGTGGTGGTTGTTGGAACTGCTGTAGTTGTGGTTGGAGCTGCAGTGGTTGTGGTTGGAGCTGCTGTGGTGGTTGTTGGAGCCACTGTGGTGGTTGTTGGAGCTGCTGTAGTTGTGGTTGGAGCTGCAGTGGTTGTGGTTGGAGCCACTGTGGTAGTAGTTGGAGCTGCTGTAGTTGTGGTTGGAGCTGCAGTGGTTGTGGTTGGAGCCACTGTGGTGGTTTTAGGAGCTGCTGTAGTTGTGGTTGGACCTCCAGTTGTTATAGTTGGGGCTGCTGTAGTTGTGATTGGAGCTGCAATGGTTGTGGTTGGAGCCACTGTGGTTGTTGTAGGAGCCACTGTGGTGGTTGTTGGAGCTGCTGTAGTTGTGGTTGGAGCTTCAGTGGTTGTGGTTGGAGCCGCTGTGGTTGAGGTTGGAGCCACTGTGGTGGTTGTTGGAACTGCTGTAGTTGTGGTTGGAGCTGCTGTTGTTGTTGTTGGAGCTGCTGTAGTTGTGGTTGGAGCTTCAGTGGTTGTGGTTGGAGCCGCTGTGGTTGAGGTTGGATCCACTGTGGTGGTTGTTGGAGCTGCCGTAGTTGTGATCGATGCTGCAGTGGTTGTGGTTGGAGCCTCTGTGGTGGTTGTTGGAACTTCTGTAGTTGTGGTTGGACCTGCAGTTGTTGTAGTTGGAGCTGCTGTGGTTGTGGTTGGAGCTGCAGTGGTTGTGGTGGGAGCCACTGTGGTGGTTGTTGGAGCTGCTGTAGTTGTGGTTGGAGCTTCAATGGTTGTGGTTGGAACTGGTGTGGTTGTGGTTGGAGCTGCTGTGGCTGTTGTTGGAGCTGCAGTGGTGGTTTTAGGAGCCAGTGTGGTTTTGGTTGGAGCAAATGTGGTGGTTGTTGGAGCTGCTGTAGTTGTGGTTGGAGCTTCAGTGGTTGTGGTTGGAGCCGCTGTAGTTGTTGTTGGAGCCACTGTGGTTGTTGTTGGAACTGCTGTAGTTGTGGTTGGAGCTGCTGTGGTGGTTGTTGGAGCCGCAGTGGTGGTTGTTGGGACTGCTGTAGTTGTGGTTTGAGCTCCAGTGGTTGTGGTTGGAGCCACTGTGGTGGTTATTGGAACTGCTGTAGTTGTGGTTGGAACTGCAGTTGTTGTTGTTGGAGCTGCTGTAGTTGTGGTTGGAGCTGCAGTGGTTGTGGTTGGAGCCACTGTGGTTGTTGTTGGAGCCACTGTGGTGGTTGTTGGAACTGCTGTAGTTGTGGTTGGAGCTGCTGTGGTGGTTGTTGGAGCCAATGTGGTGGTTGTTGGAACTGCTGTAGTTGTTGTTGGAGCTGCTGTAGTTGTGGTTGGAGCTGCAGTGGTTGTGGTGGGAGCCACTGTGGTGGTTGTTGGAGCTGCTGTAGTTGTGGTTGGAGCCTCTGTGGTTGTTGTTGGAGCTGCTGTGGTTGTGGTTGGAGCTGCTGTGGTGGTTGTTGGAGCCACTGTGGTGGTTGTTGGAACTGCTGTAGTTGTGGTTGGAGCCACTGTGGTGGTTGTTGGAACTGCTGTAGTTGTGGTTGGAGCTGCAGTGGTTGTGGTTGGAGCCACTGTGGTTGTTGTTGGATCCACTGTGGTTGTGGTTGGAGCTGCTGTAGTTGTGGTTTGAGCTTCAGTGGTTGTGGTTGGAGCCACTGTGGTTGTTGTTGGAGCCACTGTGGTGGTTGTTGGAACTGCTGTAGTTGTGGTTGGAGCTGCAGTGGTTGTGGTTTGAGCCACTGTGGTTGTTGTTGGAGCCACTGTGGTGGTTGTTTTAACTGGTGTAGTTGTGGTTGGAGCTGCTATGGTTGTTGTTGGAGCTGCAGTAGTTGCGGTTGGAGCTGCTGTGGTGGTTGTTGGAACTGGTGTAGTTGTGGTTGGAGCTGCTGTGGTTGTTGTTGGAGCTGCAGTGGTTGTGGTTGTATTCTCTGTGGTTGTTGGAGCCACTGTGGTGGTTGGAACTGATGTAGTTGTGGTTGGAGCTCCAGTGGTTGTGGCTGGAGCCACTGTGGTTGTTGTTGGAGCAGCTGTAGTTGTGGTTGGAGCTTCAGTGGTTGTGGTTGGAAGTGCTGTAGTTGTGGTTGGAGCTGCAGTGGTTGTGGTTGGACCATCTGTGGTTGTTGTTGGAGCCACTGTGGTGGTATTTGGAACTGGTGTAGTAGTGGTTGGATTTCCTGTGTTTGTTGTTGGACCTGCAGTGGTTGTAGTTGGAGCTGCTGTGGTGGTTGTTGGAGCCACTGTGGTGGTTGTTGGAACTGCTGTAGTCGTGGTTGGAGCCACTGTGGTGGTTGTTGGATCTGCTGTAGTTGTGGTTGTAGCTGCAGTGGTTGTGGTTGGAGCGACTGTGGTTGTTGTTGGAGCCACTGTGGTGGTTGTTGGAACTGCTGTAGTTGTGGTTGGAGCTGCAGTGGTTGTGGTTGGACCATCTGTGGTTGTTGTTGGAGCCACTGTGGTGGTATTTGGAACTGGTGTAGTTGTGGTTGGAGCTCCTGTGTTTTGTTGTTGGATCTGCTGTAGTTGTGGTTACAGCTGCTGTGGTGGTTGTTGGAGCCACTGTGGTGGTTGTTGGAACTGCTGTAGTCGTGGTTGGAGCCACTGTGGTGGTTGTTGGATCTGCTTTAGTTTGTGGTTGTAGCTGCAGTGGTTGTGGTTGGATACACTGTGGTTTTTGTTGGAGCTGCTGTAGTTGTGGTTGGAGCTTCAGTGGTTGTGGTTGGAGCCACTGTGGTTGTTGTTGGAGATGCTGTAGTTGTGGTTGGAGCTTCAGTGTTTGTGGTTGGAAGAGCTGTAGTTGTGGTTGGAGCTGCAGTGGTTGTGGTTGGAGCATCTGTGGTTGTTGTTGGAGCTACTGTGGTGGTATTTAGAACTGGTGTAGTTGTGGTTGGTGCTCCTGTGTTTGTTGTTGGAACTGCAGTGTTTGTGGTTACAGCTGCTGTGGTGGTTGTTGGAACTGCTGTAGTCGTGGTCAGAGCCACTGTGGTGGTTGTTGGATCTGCTGTTGTAGTGGTTGGAGCCGCAGTGGTTGTGGTTGGAGCCACTGTTGTTGTTGTTTGAGCCACTGTGGTGGTTGTTGGAACTGCTGTAGTTGTGGTTGGAGCCACTGTTGTTGTTGTTTGAGCCACTGTGGTGGTTGTTGGAACTGCTGTAGTTGTGGTTGGAGCTGCAGTGGTTGTGGTTGAAGCCACTGTGGTTGTTGTTGGAGCTGCTGTGGTTGTTGGAACTGGTGTAGTTGTGGTTGGACCTGCTTTGGTTGTTGTTGGAGCTGCTGTGGTGGTTGTTGGAACTGGTGTAGTTGTGGTTGGAGCTGCTGTGGTTGTTGTTGGAGCTGCAGTGGTTGTGGTTGGAGCTGCTGTGGTGGTTGTTGGAACTGGTGTAGTTGTGGTTGGAGCTGCTTTGGTTGTTGTTGGAGCTGCTGTGGTGGTTGTTGGAACTGCTGTAGTTGTGGTTGGAGCCACTGTGGTGGTTGTTGGATCTGCTGTAGTTGTGGTTGGAGCTGCAGTGGTTGTGGTTGGAGCCACTGTGGTTGTTGTTGGATACACTGTGGTGGTTGTTGGAGCTGCTGTAGTTGTGGTTTGAGCTTCAGTGGTTGTGGTTGGAGCGACTGTGGTTGTTGTTGGAGCCACTGTGGTTGTTGTTGGAGATGCTGTAGTTGTGGTTGGAGCTTCAGTGGTTGTGGTTGGAACTGCTGTAGTTGTGGTTGGAGCTGCAGTGGTTGTGGTTGGAGCCACTGTGGTTGTTGTTGGAGATGCTGTAGTTGTGGTCGGAGCTTCGGTGGTTGTGGTTGAAAGAGCTGTAGTTGTGGTTGGAGCTGCAGTGGTTGTGGTTGGAGCATCTGTGGTTGTTGTTGGAGCCACTGTGGTGGTATTTGGAACTGGTGTAGTTTGTGGTTGGAGCTCCTGTGTTTGTTGTTGGAACTGCAGTGGTTGTGGTTACAGCTGCTGTGGTGGTTGTTGGAGCCACTGTGGTGGTATTTGGAACTGGTGTAGTTGTGGTTGGAGCTCCTGTGTTTGTTGTTGGACCTGCAGTGGTTGTGGTTGCAGCTGCTGTGGTGGTTGTTGGAGCCACTGTGGTGGTTGTTGGAGCTGCTGTAGTTGTGGTTGGAGCTGCAGTGGTTGTGGTTGGAGCATCTGTGGTTGTTGTTGGAGCCACTGTGGTGGTATTTAGAACTGGTGTAGTTGTGGTTGGTGCTCCTGTGTTTGTTGTTGGAACTGCAGTGTTTGTGGTTACAGCTGCTGTGGTGGTTGTTGGAGCCACTGTGGTGGTATTTGGAACTGGTGTAGTTGTGGTTGGATCTCCTGTGTTTGTTGTTGGACCTGCAGTGGTTGTGGTTACAGCTGCTGTGGTGGTTGTTGGAGCCACTGTGGTGGTGTTGTTGATCTGCTGTAGTTGTGGTTGTAGCTGCAGTGGTTGTGGTTGGAGCATCTGTGGTTGTTGTTGGAGCCACTGTGGTGGTATTTGGAACTGGTGTAGTTGTGGTTGGAGCTCCTGTGTTTGTTGTTGGAACTGCTGTAGTCGTGGTTGGAGCCACTGTGGTGGTTGTTGGATCTGCTGTTGTAGTGGTTGGAGCTGCAGTGGTTGTGGTTGGAGCCACTGTGGTTGTTGTTAGATACACTGTGGTGGTTGTTGGAGCTGCTGTAGTTGTGGTTGGAGCCACTGTGGTTGTTGTTGGAGCCACTGTGGTGGTTGTTGGAACTGGTGTAGTTGTGGTTGGAGCTGCTTTGGTTGTTGTTGGAGCTGCTGTGGTGGTTGTTGGAACTGGTGTAGTTGTGGTTGGAGCTGCTGTGGTTGTTGTTGGAGCTGCAGTGGTTGTGGTTGGAGCTGCTGTGGTGGTTGTTGGAACTGGTGTAGTTGTGGTTGGAGCTGCTGTGGTGGTTGTTGGAACTGGTGTAGTTGTGGTTGGAGCTGCTGTGGTTGTTGTTGGAGCTGCAGTGGTTGTGGTTGGAGACACTGTGGTGGTTGTTGGAACTTCTGTAGTTGTGGTTGGAGCTTCAGTGGTTGTGGTTGGAAGTGCTGTAGTTGTGGTTGGAGCTGCAGTGGTTGTGGTTGGAGCCACTGTGGTTGTTGTTGGATACACTGTGGTGGTTGTTGGAGCTGCTGTAGTTGTGCTTTGAGCTTCAGTGGTTGTGGTTGGAGCGACTGTGGTTTTTGTTGGTGCCACTGTGGTTGTTGTTTGGAGATGCTGTAGTTGTGGTTGGAGCTTCAGTGGTTGTGGTTGGAACTGCTGTAGTTGTGGTTGGAGCTGCAGTGGTTGTGGTTGAAGCCACTGTGGTTGTTGTTGGAGATGCTGTAGTTGTGGTTGGAGCTTCAGTGGTTGTGGTTGGAAGAGCTGTAGTTGTGGTTGGAGCTGCAGTGGTTGTGGTTGGAGCATCTGTGGTTGTTGTTGGAGCCACTGTGGTGGTATTTGGAACTGGTGTAGTTGTGGTTGGAGCTGCTGTGGTTGTTGTTGGATCTGCTGTGGTTGTGGTTACAGCTGCTGTGGTGGTTGTTGGAGCCACTGTGGTGGTTGTTGGAACTGCTGTAGTCGTGGTTGGAGCCACTGTGGTGGTTGTTGGATCTGCTGTAGTTGTGGTTGGAGCCACTGTGGTGGTTGTTGGAACTGCTGTAGTCGTGGTTGGAGCCACTGTGGTTGTTGTTGGAGCTGCAGTGGTTGTGGTTGGAGCCACTGTGGTTGTTGTTGGATACACTGTGGTGGTTGTTGGAGCTGCTGTAGTTGTGGTTGGAGCGACTGTGGTTGTTGTTGGAGCTACTGTGGTGGTTGTTGGAACTGCTGTAGTTGTGGTTGGAGCTGCAGTGGTTGTGGTTGAAGCCACTGTGGTTGTTGTTGGAGCTGCTGTGGTGGTTGTTGGAACTGGTGTAGTTGTGGTTGGACCTGCTTTGGTTGTTGTTGGAGCTGCTGTGGTGGTTGTTGGAACTGGTGTAGTTGTGGTTGGAGCTGCTGTGGTTGTTGTTGGAGCTGCAGTGGTTGTGGTTGGAGCTGCTGTGGTGGTTGTTGGAACTGGTGTAGTTGTGGTTGGAGCTGCTGTGGTTGTTGTTGGAGCTGCAGTGGTTGTGGTTGGAGCCACTGTGGTTGTTGTTGGAGCCACTGTGGTGGTTGTTGGAACTGGTGTAGTTTGGGGGGAGCTCCTGTGTTTGTTGTTGGACCTGCAGTGGTTGTAGTTGGAGCTGCTGTGGTGGTTGTTGGAGCCACTGTGGTGGTTGTTGGAACTGCTGTAGTTGTGGTTGGAGCTGCTGTGGTTGTTGTTGGAGCCACTGTGGTGGTTGTTGGAACTGGTGTAGTTGTGGTTGGAGCCGCTGTGGTTGTGGTTGTTGGAACTGCTGTTGTTGTGGTTGGAGCCGCTGTGGTTGTGGTTGGAGTTTCAGTGGTTGTGCTTGGAGCTGCAGTGGTTGTGCATGGAGCTGCAGTGGTCGTTGTTGGAGCCACTGCGGTTGTTGTTGGGTCCACTGTGGTGGTAGTTGTAACTGCTGTAGTTGTGGTTGGAGCTGTAGTTGTTGTTGTTGGAGCTGCTGTAGTTGTGGTTGGAGCTGCAGTGGTTGTGGTTGGAGCTGCTGTGGTTGTTGTTGGAGCTGCTGTGGTTGTGGTTGGAGCCGCTGTGGTGGTTGTTGGAACTGCTGTAGTTGTGGTTGGAGCTGTAATGGTTGTTGTTGGAGCTGCTGTAGTTGTGGTTAGAGCTGATGTAGTTTGTGGTTGGAGCTGCAATGGTTGTGGTTGGAGCCGCTGTGGTTGTGGTTGGAGCCTCTGTGGTGGTTGTTGGAGCTGCTGTAGTTGTGGTTGGAGCTGTAGTGGTTGTTGTTGGAGCTGCTGTAGTTGTGGTTGGAGCTGATGTAGTTGTGGTTGGAGCTGCAATGGTTGTGGTTGGAGCCGCTGTGGTTGTGGTTGGAGCCTCTGTGGTTGTGGTTGGAGCTTCAGTGGTTGGGGTTGGAGCTGCTTTGGTTGTGGTTGTAGCTGCTGTGGTTGTGGTTGGAGTCTCTGTGGTTGTGGGTTGAGCCACTGTGGTGGTTGTTGGAACTGCTGTAGTTGTGGTTGGAGCTGCTGTGGTTGTGGGTTGAGCCACTGTGGTGGTTGTTGGATCCACTGTGGTGGTTGTTGGAGATGCTGTAGTTGTGGTTGGAGCATCTGTGGTGGTTGTTGGAACTGGTGTTGTTGTGGTTGGAACTCCTGTTTTTGTTGTTGGACCTGCAGTGGTTGTGGTTACAGCTGCTGTGGTGGTTGTTGGAATTGCTGTAGTTGTGCTTGGAGCTGCAGTGGTTGTGGTTGGAGCCTCTGTGGTTGTTGTTGGATCCACTGTGGTGGTTGTTGGAACTGGTGTAGTTGTGGTTGGAGCTGCAGTGGTTGTGGTTGGAGCCTCTGTGGTGGTTGTTGGATCCACTGTGGTGGTTGTTGGAGATGCTGTAGTTGTGGTTGGAGCTTCAGTGGTTGTGGTTAGAAGTGCTGTAGTTGTGGTTGGAGCATCTGTGGTTGTTGTTGGAGCCACTGTGGTGGTTGTTGGAACTGGTGTTGTTGTGGTTGGAACTCCTGTTTTTGTTGTTGGACCTGCAGTGGTTGTGGTTACAGCTGCTGTGGTGGTTGTTGGAGCCACTGTGGTGGTTGTTGGAGCTGCTGTAGTTGTGGTTGGAGCTGCAGTGGTTGTGGTTGGAGCTGCTGTGGTTGTTGTTGGAGCTGCTGTGGTGGTTGTTGGAACTGGTGTAGTTGTGGTTGGAGCTGCTGTGGTTGTGGTTGGAGCCTCTGTGGTTGTTGTTGGAGCCACTGTGGTGGTTGTTGGAACTGGTGTAGTTGTGATTGGAGTCGCTGTGGTTGTGGTTGGAGCAACTGTTGTGGTTGTTGGAACTGCTGTTGTTGTGGTTGGAGCTGCAGTGGTTGTGGTTGGAGCTGCTGTGGTGGTTGTTGGAACTGCTGTAGTTGTAGGAGCTGCAGTGGTTGTGGTTGGAGCTGTAGTTGTTGTTGTTGGAGCTGCTGTAGTTGTGGTTGGAGCTGCAATGGTTGTGGTTGGAGCCTCTGTGTTTGTGGTTGGAGCTGTAGTTTTTGTTGTTGGAGCTGCTGTAGTTGTGGTTGGAGCGTCAGTGGTTGTGGTTGGAGCTGCTGTGGTTGTGGTTCGAGCCACTGTGGTGGTCGATGGAACTGCTGTAGTTGTGGTTGGAGCTGCTGGGGTGGTGGTTGGAGCCACTGTGGTTGTGGTTGGAGCCGCTGTAGTTGTGGTTGGAGCTGCTTTAGTTGTGGTTGGAGCCACTGTGGTGGTTGTTGGAACTGGTGTAGTTGTGGTTGGAGCCTCTATGGTCGTGGTTGGAGCTGCAGTGGTTGTGGTTGGAGCTGCAGTAGTTGTGGTTGGAGCTGCTGTGGTTGTGGTTGGAGCCACTGTGGTGGTTGTTGGAACTGGTGTAGTTGTGGTTGGAGCTGCAGTGGTTGTGGTTGGAGCTGCAGTAGTTGTGGTTGGAGCTGCAGTGGTTGTGGTTAGAGCTGCTGTAGTTGTGGTTGGAGCTGCAGTGGTTGTGGTTGGAGCTGCAGTAGTTGTGGTTGGAGCTGCAGTGGTTGTGGTTGGAGCTGCAGTAGTTGTGGTTGGAGCTGCAGTGGTTGTGGTTGGAATCACTGTGGTTGTGGTTTGAGCTTCTGTTGTTGCAGCTTCAGAAAGACAATTTTCATTGAATGAAGTTAAGATAAAAATTGTTATTCGTTTTGTTAAGATTACATCCACCAATTTAGCATTATTGTCAAATTAATAAACAAAAAATTAAATTGCATTTTATACAATGATTTTAGTATTGTGTCTGTAGAGATTTATTATGTTGGTTGCAGACATTTTACTTTATCAAAACCACTTAACATTTCAGTCATAAAGTCACATGTATATTCATGTCATACATTATAGAAATCTGAAAAAGGCCTTTTTCAAGACAGTTCAAATAATCTGGCCAGTTAGACAGACAGATGTGGACAAATTCCCTTCAACAGTATTAGTTGGATTTGTAAAAGTAAAAATCAGATGTCCAAGAAATGGATCAGTAGTTAGAAAGTAATTATTAGAAAGGAACGGTCAAGACTGCTCAATCTTACCACCTGATTTAATGTTTAGAAATGTCATCTAACTAATAGAATTAGAAAGTTATGTTACAAAATTACCTGATTACAAAATATGTCAACAAAGGACAATTAAACCTAAATCTTTGTTTTCTTCAAAGTGACAGTTATACAATCTATATATTTTTTGCTGTTCTTGTGTTGATATTTCTTTGTTTTTAATTGTATACACCGAAGTTTTTAGAGTTTATTACGGTGGTCTCTCGCTCCCACCCTGCCAGAACCTCTTTTCCTCTGTTTGTAAAAGTTTCTAGATCTGCCACTGCTCTCAGACCATGAAAAACAAAATTTTCTGCTTGTATGATGCAAAGATTAATCTAGTGTGATTGCATGGTGTCATGTTTGCAAGAAACTCCAACATCCCGATAGTAAATCATGGGGATGTTTTGCAGCAACAGGAACTGGGAGAACTGGGAACTGGGAGACTACTCAGTCTGTTCTGATGAACGCAGAATCTGGTCCCTGAGATTGTGTCTCTTTTTCAGAGTTTGAACATCTCTGAAAATGGTTTCACACAAATGTCTCCGATCCAACCTGATGAAGCTTGTCACGTACTGCAGAAAACAATAAGCTAAACTGTGGATCGGTAAAGTATTAGATTTAGTATTAGTCACATAAATGTAATTTTATTGATTTTTATTTTTAATAAACAGGCAAGGAGTCAAAAACTTTCACTTTGACTTAATGTATGTTTAAAATTTTGAAAAAATGAATTTTTATAGACTGGCTGTTTGGCGTTTCTGTAAGTCAGTGGCTGTATTTGTGGTTACTATTTTTTATGTGATTTTATTTTTATTATTACTATTATTTATTATTACTGTTTTTTTCTCATGTGAATCTACTTGTGTCTTTAATAAAGCTATGATTGATTGAACACAATTTTCAAAAAGACTTACTTAGAAAAATGTGGATAGAGTGAAATGTAAATACTTTTTGGGCGCAATTTTAATTTTTTATGTCAAAGTAAACTGATGTTTTATGGTTTTCTACTTGATGTTATCAGGGCTTATTTCAGTTACAATATTTAAAAAAGGAAATTAGGTTTGTCTCCTAAACTGTCTTAACACACAGCAGCTTTTTCTGCATTAATGGAAGAGCAGACAATATTTTCACATCATACAGATAAAATATTCAAAGCATAGAAATGTGTTCCTTCACAATAACATTCACACAAGATATATAAAAACATAAACACTTACCAAAAGAGGTAACAGTAATCCAAAGGATGAAAGTCACAGTTAATGTTTTAGCCATTGCAAAAAGAAATCTGATGGACAAAATTGCATAAATTGACTGAAGGCTGTGTGAACTGTGTGGATGAGTGTGAGTCGTTCATCCCTGATGTGGTAGTTTTAATCAGTAGCCACTCCTTCCAGGGTGTTGCTGAGCAATAAGGGTTTGATCCTAAAAGATACTAAGTAAAGTGCTATATTGGTTATGGAAAAAAGATTTTGCATGCAACTGTTGGGCATGTTGCATCAACTAATCTTTACGAAGTCAATAAATGGTGCAGATCACCCTATTCAAATTAACAGTTTGCCTGTATTATCATGGAGGGTGATGGAGAGGAGAGTGGCCATAAAAATAAAAAGTTGAGAGATCATGGAGTTTTTCTACTAATAATTATACTACTGCTAAAAAACCTATAATAATTATCTCAAACATTTAGAACAGAACAGTACACATATTTAAAACCAATCTAAATAAACTTCTAGATATCTGAATTTAACTTTCATCACTTTATGACGGGATGGAATTATTCAGTAATTCTACAGCTCAAAATTTGGATTGCTGAGGGATATTTGTCATTTATTTTCATTATCTATTTCTTGTGTGTTCCAAACATTTTTATCAAACAATGTCTTCTGTTGTATTTTTGCTTGCGTCTTGCCACTTCTCAGGCACCTGTATCTCCCACAGATTCTAGACAGTGTCACTGGTCAAAGACATGGAACACAATAAAAGGAAAGGTATAAATGTGAAGTTCATCACACTTTTTGACTGTTATGGTAAAAAAGAAAAAGGGAAGAAAAGGCAAAAGAAGGAAAGAAAAAGAAAGGAAAAGTTATATACTTCCAGTTGGAAGAAAAAAGCACATTAAGGGCTGTTTTTTCAAACCAAAGTATGGAAATGAAAAATGCAGAAATCAAAGTAAAAATTTTATTACTATATTGATGTGTTTTTCTATGAGATTGTTTCATTTTTAAATTTGTCCCCATTATCTTAAACAAATGCTCCATTAAAGCAGAAACGGCTGCAGTGGTGTAGAACAGAAATATCTTTTATGTTTTCACTGAGGGGAAATCTAGGTGTAACAGCAGGAAAGTCCCAAGCAATCAGAAAAATAGTGTCTTCAGTCAGAGGCTTCTTCAAATTTGCTGTAACACAGACCACTACAGGAGATCCATCTTGCCCACAGCCATACATGGCATAGAGGAATATCTACAGAAACTTTGAAAAATCCTGAATTGATATGTTACATTTAATTTTCTTTGGGATGAATAAAATATTTTTGATCCCAAATCAATGTGTAAATTAAAGTCTCAGTATATTCCCTCTGAATGATATTTTAGCCCATATGATTGTGTTGTCAAGGAAAACAGGGTGGAACTATTTTCAGCATGACCTTTGATTTTAAGACGTCTGTCGTTATGTCACTCAGTCACGGGCATAAACCAATAAAATATGCCTAAATAAAATGTGTATGAAATTGCTATGAACTCGACTAAATTACTGGGATTATGGATGAAAGGCATGGAGGTATTTATGTCACTGGAAGCATAACTGCATTGTGCGCTCTTAAATATAAATCCATTTTATATTAACTTGGATTCTCTTTGTCACGATGCTATCGTCAATGCTTGCTGCTCTTCAACGTCACTTTGGGTGTGGATGGAAAAAAGCGGTGGTTTACACACCCATTTTTGATATACAAGTGTTATGTCATCATCACAAAATAACGACGGTATTGCATGTATTGTACTGATTGTAGCAAAGCTACACCCTGGGCAATCCTTTATGTTCAATACAAATAGATTTCAAAGCTGATAACAACAAATGTCAAAACTTCACATGGTTAGCAAATTGAGCAATAAATATGGGTAAGTGGACAAATAGATCAATACCAGAGGATTTCTTTCAATTCTACCCAAGGTACATATTTAGGCTGGATTGTGACAATATACTTTTTCTACATCTACATAGTGCAATTTTCTCATTTTAAAAACAATAAACGATGATGAACATTAGTGATCTCAAGCGCTCTGGTTTAGGCTGGACATTTTAAACCATGCTTTGATTGGGTGAAATTATCACAGCTATGCTGATGACAGACAGCTCTACCTTTCTCAGTCTCTGAAATTAGATAATGACAACAGAAAAGAAATATCTCTTTTGCAGCAGAAAACCTCAGTCAGAACCTGAACCTAACTCCGAGTGAATGGCCATTTGCCACAACCTCGTGTGAGTTTGAGAAAACAGAGCAGTTTGTAAATCAAGGTGTATTTGTGTGTGCTCCATATTTTTGCTTCTTTTCTGTAAATACTTTTAAAAAATGTATGTTGTTTATTGTGTTTGTACACTTATACATCTTTTGTGAGTTTTGTTGAAAAGAATTTGGCCTGACAAGTTATCTTTTGTTTGTTCTCCAAGAAAACACCTTGGAGAATTAACAAGGTTCTCCAAGGTTGTTAAAGACAGCAATTTTATGACATAACTCCATCACATCTCTAGTTTGTATCTCTAGTTTGTCTTAAATTTGACAAAGCAATTTTGCTGCAGTTTCTGCACAAAAAAGTATTAAAAGGCTATATCTATTTGAAAAGGAATAAGTCATCGAAGCTGACAAGTAACCAACGTTCACAGTTTTTGTAAACTTTTACTACTTATTCTAAAAATACAAATCCCAGTGTATTATTTGCACTCTTCTCCTTTGAGAATCACATAAGCTGAACAATCTTGATTAATTGTCACAAATTGAGTAAATAAACTGAACTTGGACATGTTTAAAGTACTTTTTGTTGAAAAGCCCATTTAAAATTTGCTTTTCAAGTTTTGTTTCTAACCACTTCAAGAAAGCACATTTTATATGTTGAGATTAAAATTTATCTAAAAGTATTTTAAAACTTTAAAATACTTTGAAACTGGGTCAAGTGTCTTCTTTTTGAGAAATCAAAATTTGGTTACCCTGGTTTAGGAGACTCAGAACGGTAGAGCTGTCTCTCTTCAGACAGGCAACATAGCTGTGATATTTCAGCCTTATGGTAGCATAAATCAGTTTAAAATGATGGACCTAAATTAGATCTTTTTGATTACATCAAACTGGAGAAGAAATGAACAATAAAAACTACTGCTTTGTTTTTATCCATGAGGAGCAGTCCCTCTTAATGTTGTCTCTGGTAATACTTGTCAATATGAATGATATTTATGTCAGTTTATGCCATTTCAGCTTTAAAACCTGTCTGTGATGGACTTGGAGCCCTGTCCAGGGCGTAGTTTCTAATATTCAGGATGATACGAGGTATACTTTCAAATCATTTTGCGGTGATAATACAACATGGATAAACAAAACCACCCTTTTTCTCCCATTCTTCAACACTTGAAATGGATCAAGTGTGGCAGAGAAAATCATGGCATAGAGGAATATAGACAACATAAAAGAGATTTCTGTTAATGAGCAGCAATGCATAAAAACCCTTATTTTCCACTTAGCATGCATACCTGATCTCAGTAATTTAGTTGGGTTTATACTGACTTCATGCACTTTTCATTCAGGTATGTTTTATATTGGTTTATGCCTGTGACTGCAGTAACTTAATAATAAAGGATGTCTTAAAATCAAAGGTCATATTGTGCACAGCTTGGTTGCCACCCTGTTCTGTTGGTAACCAAATGTTTGTCGTGATAATTAAGTATCAAAGTATCTTTCAGAGAGAATATGTTGACCTAACAGTTTAAACAGAATTGTTCCAACCTTTGGGTGGAACCATTCTGGAGAGGATGTTTTGGTCCACTTATATAATGCATCATTTGATTTCCAGAAAACAAGGTGGGACTAAGTATAAATTGACCTTTGATTTGAAGACGCCTTTTGTGATAACATAAATCCATCACATGCATAAACCAATAAAAATAAAATGCACATGAAGATGATATGAACTCAACTAAACTACTCGCTGCTGATATCAGAGATGCAACCTACGTGAGATAAAACTAAGTTTTATGTCACCTGAAGTATCATTTTTATCTTGACTTGGATCCTCTTTGCAATGAAACTCTTCAACACTTGCTCCAAATCAACATATTGGGTGTTGGTGTGAACAAGGGTGGTTCAAACACCCATCTCATGTTATGTTATTGTCACAGGAAGCTCCAACCTGGAGAAGGTCCATTACAAACAGGGTTCAAAGCTGATAAATTGTCAACATAAAAAAATGACAGCAGTCAGATTAAGCAAGCCAATTTAAGTGTTTTGACCAGTATTAGTACAGATTACACTAAGAGGGAATGTCCATCTAGTTGCGTTTATAGGTAATCTTTTTCTTATTTTTCCCACTTGGATTACATGAGATGGATTAAGACAAAATATGCTGTTTTGTAAATCTAAGAAGGCTAGCTTCCAGTTGTTAAAGACAATAAGTAATGATCAACAATGGTGTTGTCCAAGAATCTGATTTAAGTCCATGCTTCCATAAGCTGGAATCCTTGGGCAGACCGCTCTGCATTTCTGAGTTTCCTAACACAGGGTGACCAAATATTGGTTTCTGGAAAAGAGGACACTTGGCTCAGTCCTGAAACATTTCAATCATGCCTTCTCTGTATTGTTAGGAAGAATTGTGAAAACCTGAGATAGGCTTTCACAATTCAAGTTTAAAAAGTCAGTGTTTATTTCTGGATGCATCATGAGGTCTAAAAAATGCAATAAAGCAAACGAATTACATAATGCCTTTGTTGGAAACAGATAAAGACCAGAGGTTACTCCAATGGGAGCTGTTCTACAGAAAGTAGATCTCTCGTGTATACTTTATGCATTTTGTAGTTTTAATCCTACTAAATACAGGAAAATAAGTGTTGTATGCCCTTGTGAATAAAATAGTATAATGAAAAATTGTCACTTAACTGCCTGCTTTTCTTTTGAGTTCTTCATCATAGTAAATATAAGAAATGCATAGAAGGTATAGATTTAGTGGATAATTTTCGACATACATTTCTCACATGTGGAACAAAACAATGAAACAAAATGAGGGCATCAATCTCCTGCATAGGAAATTTTTACATAAATGTTTTGGTAATTATATTTCATAAGAATGAACTGAACTGAGCTGAAACAAACAAACTGAAATAACAACAACAACAACAACAAAAAAATAATAATAATAATTAAAAAAAACACCCAAATAGAACAAAACATAAAAAGCCTAACTGTTCAAAGTATGCAATGTGGAAATATGGACTTTTATTGAAAAGTCAAACATATAGAACTGTTTCATGTTAAAATTAAGCTTTTCTAAGTAAATTTAACGTCTATTTGATAACCAGAAAGTTTGACAGTTCAGGAGCCCCATACAATCTATCAATACGTCCTCTGGTGTTTTAGATATTTATTCACAACAAACATGTTCCTTTGAGCGTTTCCCCCAATTTAATTTACTTGCATTTTTCCTTTCCTTTTGAAGATAACCATCATCACACTTTCTCTGATTTGATTTGAGCTGATTTCTGGAGTTAAATTAAGTTGGATCCAGAAAATGAGAAACAGATGTGGCAGCAGGAAGCACTGAGGGCAAAAAGGGACATTATGGCAATGGTTCCATCTAGAGGAGAAAAATTGTTCAAGCACAATCAAGTTGTCTGTCACCTAGGAAAATGAGTGCAAAAAAGAAAAAAAAGAAAATATATTTCAACTTTCAACTCAGTACTTGTTTTTTTAATTTTTTGTTTTATTGTATAAATATTTCGACTTGAAACAAGAACAGTTAAAGTGCTTCATGCATTTTCAGCAAATGATATTAAATTTGCCTTTTACAAATAATATACTTCAAGTAAATATTAAACATTAAACATACTCATTATGCACATTATAAACATTATAAAACTTATAAAACTAGTGAGACTCAAAATCTGGCAATCCAGACTTTATAGTTCCAAAGTTATTGTGTTAAATACAATATCAAACAAGTCAATATTTAAAGAATAAATATATAAACTATGTTAAAATACTCTGAGTTGTTTTAATTATGTGATAAATATATTTTAATATTATACAAAAACACATTGAAAGATGCTGAAAATGTTAAAATTTTCTGATTTAGAGCAATATTCAGCTCATCTCATTTACCAAAACCTCACTAAATATACAATTGAGAATAAAATAAAACCTAAAATAGCTACAACAAAAATCCTAACTTTAGTAAATTTATAGGTGAACAAATGAGCAAAAAACTGAGCAAGAGCTTTTTGCTCTGTGAGAATAATCACTAAATAACTTATGTATTTACTATGTCCGGTTAACATACAGAACTGAGAGGTTGAGTGACTCACAATGTTGGAATTATTAACCAAATTTTATGATTTTGACAATAAATCTTTATGCTTTCTGGCAGCTTAACAGGACAGAAGTCACACACGGGTCTATCCGGACAATAAATTGTCATGATGGTGATAAATTTTGAGACTATTTTCAAGAAATGGCAGGAACATAATACATCTTACTGGATGATAAATCGTCCCAGAAATTATTCCAAGAAAGGAAAATATTGTTGTCTTAAGAATATTTTCAAGTACTATATTTGTAAGGGCATAACAGTGTAAGTTTGCCTTCTCAACAGCTAATGAATTTTAATTTTGACCAGAACACTCCACACTGGAACTGAGAGACATTTTAAATATCCAAAATATAATCCAACCAAAATAAATAAATATAAAGGAACCAGAAACCACACTCAATGAAAACCATAAATAAAATGCATTGTGAAGTCTGTAAACAAAACTTCCTGTAAAAAAAAAAAAAAAAATCAATCATCAGAATGGAAATGATTACACTCATATTAATTTATCATGCGATTAAATGATTATTGTGACAGGCTTCGTAAAAAAGAGAAGCTAAAGCAGTAAAGGAACAAATAATACAACAATATCTACTACATTACACTTCACATTTCAGATAATAAGCTCCTGTTTGCAGCATTTACATCAGTGGGGTCCTAATGAAATAGAAAATCTTCAGAAAAATATCAATATTTGAACCCCTGAAGTGATTCAATGTACCTTTTCTTTATTAGGTTGTTACTAAATAAGGGCTGGTCTGGCCTTGGGTCTTGGCGTAAGGGTTTGTGGCTCGGATCTGGTGATAAGGGCTATTTCTGGCTTGGACCTCCTCGTAGGGGATGTTCCTGGGAGGACTCGGGGAGAATGAAAACATGTTATCTTGGCCATCGCTGAATTGCTGCAGGAGAAAAGAAGACGGATCATAATTAGTGACTGAATAAAACACAGATGTTTGTTTTTAGAGTGTCTGGTGCAAAGGCGTACCCACCAAATTCATCCCCGAAGGAATCAAGCTTTGTCGGCTGTTACTCGGAGTCCACTCAGAGCTGGGCATGCTGTCCCAGTCGGGACTGAGTTTGGCCCGCGGGATTCGTGGGGCCCCTGAATTTCCTGGGCTGTACGGTGATTCTTTGACCCAGGTGAAAAAGCTATCACCGCTGTTATAGGATGGTGGGCCTTTGGAAAAGTAAGGAACTTTCCAAATGTCTTTCTCTTTTTTCTTGAAGAGCTTCTTCTTGAATCTGAAAAACAAGAATAACAACGTATTGCAACTGTCTCCAGTGTTTATAGTTAGATTTCTATAACATTGGTAAATAAGTTTAAAATAAAATAAAACTCATGCAGCTTTAAAAAAGAACAACAACAAAAAAAACAAGACCAAAGTGAGTTCAAACTTACTTTTTTACTACCAGCAGCAGAACAATCAATATGATGATGATGAGACATCCAAAGATGGATGAAACAATCACAAAGATCAACCACCAGTCTGTCAACAAACAAGCAGTCAGTAGTGAGTCTCAGTCTTTGTGCCTCAAAATTAGAAAAAAATATGACTATACAGATTTTATAAAGAAAATTCAGTTTTAAAGGTTTATGTGTATAAGAGCAGGTGCAACCTTAAACCATACGGGATCTACCAAGGAGATAGCACAGGAAAATGATAGCAGGGAAATCTATTTTTGCTTCTATGCTCAAATGAATATCAGAAAGTGCAAATTACGGGTAGGATGATATGCAAGTAGAATGACTTTCAATCTACATTGCAATTGATCACAGTTGAACCAGTTAATGGTTGCTGTTTTTCCATGTATGTTTAGCAAGTTTGAAAGTGAAAACTGGGGCACAAAAATGTCTGCCCTCCTTGTCATTAGTTGTCAAAATATCTGAATATCAAATCAATTTTATGCTTCAGTTAATATTCACCCAGTTGAACCGTGAATCCAGATCCCATCACAAACAAAGCAGATGAACACATCTAACTTTTTCTCCGTAGTGACATAAACCACTGACTGTGGCCCCAATAACTGATAATAAATTCAATTAAATGACTTCACTTAATTTACGCGTCTCAAATTTGTCCTGACACTCATCTGCAGATAAATCTCCACTAGTTCACCTGTCAGTTGAATCTGTCTGATCCAAACTGGTGAACTGAACCCTCCGTGAGGATAACGTGCGCCCATTAGGCTCCAGTTGTTGAAACCACAGAGCGAAGCCAGGTCTGCATTGGTTGTGCAGCGCACTGCGCTTGTGATTGTCTAATTAACTTCTGCACCGTTATTTATATCCTCAAGAAGAACTGCTGGCTCCTTTGTTTAGACTATAAATGGATTAATAAAATGTTGCATTCTCTTTAGTTTTCTCTGGTCTGTAATGGAGACCAGAGAATGTGCCATTTCTACCAAAGGTTTGGAATGCGCTTCTGAACCAGACGCGCTCCAAATCACGGTTCCAGAAAGACGCATTTAGTTCAGTGTCCGTCAGATAATTTTCACAAATGATTTTTTTTCTTACTAACAGACTTTAGTTGCCTTTGCCCATATGCACCTGACGGTGGTGTTAATTATAACCTGTGAAATGACGGACAGACTTTAAACTTTCCAGTCGTTTAAAAAAAAAACAGGTCGAATAGGGAAAAATAATGCGACCTCTGTACCAAATAAAACAATATTAACATCCACCAGAAACCAGAAAAATTCTAAACCTGTTTCTCATTTTTTCCTATCAGCCACCAAGTGATGCTCATGGCTGCTCTGAATTTTGTGAAACAGCACAAGTATAAGGACAGGTGGACCAGAGGGGCACAGAATGTGAGCAACATCCAATCATCATCCAGCAATCTCTTGTTTTCAACATGTTTTTATGACCAGCATAATGATGATGACTTTTTGAAAATTCCATTTTCTTGTGCTTGTTGCCCAACACACTGCATGTTCTGTGTCGGCGAAACGTTGGCACTTCTTTCACTATGTAAATTTAAGTGATACACAAAAAGGTAATGACAAAAAAACTTGTTGGTTTATAAATAGGTAAGTCTGTTTACTGAACATATTTTGTAAATACCATAACGCTTTCACAGTCATACACATACCCCTTTGACAGCCTTGAGGACCGTAAACTTCTCCAGCTGCACACAGACACACATAGGTATGGTCATCACGTTCCTCACAGGTGCTTCCACCGAGGCATGGATTGGAAGCACATGCATCTTTATAATTGTGATAAGAAACACAAAAGAGTAATGTAAGAATTTCATCATTTAATTCAGTAATTTCAGCTACTTTAATGAGGCTATATGTGCTAAATTGTGTATATTTATAACATACTTGGAGGTTGTGTAAATGTCGTTTCTCCTGTTATAGCAGATGAAGTTGCTGCGTTTGTTATCGGAGCTGTTGTAGTTGTGTTTTGAGGAGCTGTGCTTTTCGTAACAGCTGCTGTGGTTATCGCCACAGTGGTAGGAGTTGGAGCTTCTGCGGTTGTTGATAGATTAGCCGTAGTTTTAATAGGCGATCCTGTGTCTGTGGTTGCAGCAGATATGGTTGAATTTGGAGTTGCAGTTGTTATTCCTGGAGCTGTTGTGCTAAGGGCTGCTGAAGTGGTAGTAGTTGGAGATGCTGTGGTTGTCGATAGAGTTGCTGGAGTTTTAATAGGCGATCCTGTGACTGTGGTTGTAGCAGATATGGTTGGAGTTGGAGCTGCAGTTGTAGTTGGAGCTGTTGTGGTTGAATTTGGAGTTGCAGTTGTTATTCCTGGAGCTGTTGTGCTAAGGGCTGCTGAAGTGGTAGTAGTTGGAGATGCTGTGGTTGTCGATAGAGTTGCTGGAGTTTTAATAGGCGATCCTGTGACTGTGGTTGTAGCAGATATGGTTGAATTTGGAGCTGCAGTTGTTATTCCTGGAGCTGTTGTGCCAAGGGCTGCTGAAGTGGCAGTAGTTGGAGATGCTGTTGTCATTGGAGGTTCAGTGGTTGTTGGATCTGAAGATGTTGAGATGGGACCTGGAGTGGCTGGAGCTGCTGTGGTTGTAGATAGAGTAGCTGGAGTTTTAATAGGCGATCGCGTGATTGTAGTTGGAGCTGGAGCTTCTGTGGTTAATGGAAGTGATGGTGCTTCTGTTGTTGTAGATGCAACAGCTGTGATCATAGTTGAAGCTGCTGTGGTTGTTGTTGGAGGTGAAGTGGTTGTACTTGGAGCTGCAGGTGTTGTGGCTGAAACAGCTGTAGTTTGAGCTGCTGTGGTAGTAATTTGAGCATCTGTGGTTGTGGATATGATTGCAGTTGTACTGGTTGCAGCTTCTGTGGTTGGGGACAGAGCACCTGTGGTTGTTGATTGAGTAGCTGTGGTTTTAATAGGTGATCCTGTGATTGTAGTCAGAGCTGCAATTGTTGTGGTTGGAGCTACTGTGGTTGTAGGTGAAACTGCTGTGGTTATTGTTGCTGCTGCTGCGGTTGTGGTTATGCCTACAGTTGTACTGGTTGGACCTGCTATGGTTGTGGACGGAGAACTTGTGCTTGTAAATAGAGTAGCTGTGGTTTTAATAGGCGATCCTGTGATTGTGGTTGTGGACAGAGTTTCAGATGTTGGATCTTCTGTGGTTGAAGTGGGAGTTGCTTTTGTTGTTGAAGCTGCAATGGTTTTAGATTCTGTGGTTTTTGATGATGTTGTGGTTGTGATTTGAGCTGCAGTGGTTGTGGTTGGAGATTCTGAGGTTGTAGTTGGTGCTGCTGTAGTTGTGGTCGGCGATGCCGAAGCTGTGTTTGGAGCTGCTGAGGCTGTGGTTGGAGAAGCTGTAGTTATGGTTGGTTCTGCAGTGGTTATTGTTGGTGGTCCAGTTGTGGTTGGATAATCTGTAGTTGTAGGAGCTGGTGTGGTTGTGGTTGGAGCAGGTGTAGTTATTGTTGGTGCTTCACTTATTGTGGTTGGCTTTGCAGTGGTTGTTGTTGTTGCTCCATTTGTTGTGGGAGCCATTGTGGTAATGACTGCAGCTGCTGTGATGGTGGTTGGAGCCGCAGTTGTTGGAGATTTTGTGGTCGTTGGTGGAGCTGCTGTCAATGTTGTAGGCTCTTCAGTTGCAGTGGGAACTGGTGTAGTTGTTGATGGTGCTCCAGTTGTGGTTGGGGCTGATATGGTTGTTGCTCCAGTTGTTGTGGAAGTCACTGTGGTTATGGATGGAAATGGTCTGGTTGGGGTTGGACCTGCAGTGGTTGTAGTTGGAGCTGGTGTAGATATTGTCGATGCTTCAGGTATTGTGGTTGGATTTTCTGTGGCTGTTGTTGGAGCTGCTATTGTTGTGGTTGGAGTTGCACTAGTTATTGTAGTTGGACCTGCTGTGATGGTTGTTGGATCTGTTGTGGTTGTTGTTGGAGCTGATGTGATGGTGGTTGGATCTGTTCTGGTTGTAGTTGGACCTGCTGTGATGGTTGTTGGATCTGTTGTGGTTGTAGTTGGCGCTGCTGCAGTTGTTAGTGGTACTTCAGTAGTTTTTGTGGCTTCTGTGGTGGTAGTTGCAGTGGTTCTTGTCGGTGCTTCAGTTGTTGTGGTTGGTTCTGCTGTGGTTGTGGTTGGAGCTGCTGTGGTTGTCGTTGGAGCAGCTGTGGTTGTGGTTGGAGAAGCTGTGGTTGTGGTTGGAGCAGCTGTGGTTGTGGTTGGAGCTGCTGTGGTTGTGGTTGGAGAAGCTGTGGTTGTGGTGGGAGCTGCTGTGGTTGTGGTTGGAGCAGCTGTGGTTGTGGTTGGAGCTGCTGTGGTTGTGGTTGGAGAAGCTGTAGTTGTGGTTGGAGCTGCTGTGGTTGTGGTTGGAGCTGCTGTGGTTGTGGTTGGAGAAGCTGTGGTTGTCGTTGGAGATGCTGTGGTTGTGGTTGGAGAAGCTGTAGTTGTGGTTGGAGCTGCTGTGGTTGTGGTTGGTGCTGCTGTGGTTGTGGTTGGAGCTGCTGTGTTTGTCGTTGTAGCTGATGTGGTTGTAGCATCTGTGGTTGTGGTTGGAGAAGCTGTAGTTGTGGTTGGTTCTGCTGTGGTTATGACTGCAGCTTCTGTGGTTGTGGTTGGAGCTGCTGTGGTTGTGGTTGGTTCTGCTGTAGTCGTGGTTGGAGCTGCTGTGGTTGTGGTTGGAGCAGCTGTAGTTGTCGTTGGAGCTGCTGTGGTTGTGGTTGGAGAAGCTGTGGTCGTGGTTGGTGCAGCTGTAGTTGTGGTTGGAGCTGCTGTGGTTGTCGTTGGAGCAGCTGTGGTTGTGGTTGGAGCTGCTGTGGTTGTGGTTGGAGCAGCTGTGGTTGTGGTTGGTTCTGCTGTAGTTGTGGTTGGAGCTGCTGTGGTTGTGGTTGGAGAAGCTGTAGTTGTGGTTGGTTCTGCTGTGGTTGTGGTTGCAGCTTCTGTGGTTGTGGTTGGAGCTGCTGTGGTTGTGGTTGGAGCTGCTGTGGTTGTGGTTGGAGAAGCTGTAGTTGTCGTTGGAGCTGCTGTGGTTGTGGTTGGAGAAGCTGTGGTCGTGGTTGGTGCAGCTGTGGTTGTGGTTGGAGCTGCTGTGGTTGTGGTTGGAGCTGCTGTGGTTGTGGTTGGAGCAGCTGTAGTTGTCGTTGGAGCTGCTGTGGTTGTCGTTGGAGCTGCTGTGGTTGTGGTTGGAGCAGCTGTAGTTGTCGTTGGAGCTGCTGTGGTTGTGGTTGGAGCTGCTGTAGTTGTCGTTGGAGCTGCTGTGGTTGTGGTTGTAGCTGCTGTGGTTGTGGTTGGAGAAGCTGTAGTTGTGGTTGGTTCTGCTGTAGTTGTGGTTGGAGCTGCTGTGGTTGTGGTTGGAGCAGCTGTAGTTGTGGTTGGTGCAGCTGTGGTTGTGGTTGGAGAAGCTGTGGTTGTGGTTGGAGCAGCTGTGGTTGTGGTTGGAGATGCTGTGGTTGTGGTTGGCACTGCTGTGCTTGTCGTTGGAGCTGCTGTAGTTGTGGTTGGAGCTGCTGTAGTTGTGGTTGGAGCTGCTGTGGTTGTGGTTGGAGCTGCTGTGGTTGTGGTTGGAGAAGCTGTAGTTGTGGTTGGAGCAGCTGTGGTTGTGGTTGGAGAAGCTGTGGTTGTGGTTGGAGCAGCTGTGGTTGTGGTTGGAGATGCTGTGGTTGTGGTTGGATCTGCTGTGGTTGTGGTTGGAGCTGCTGTGGTTGTGGTTGGAGCTGCTGTGGTTGTTGTTGGAGCTGCTGTGGTTGTGGTTGGAGCTGCTGTGGTTGTGGTTGGAGCAGCTGTAGTTGTCGTTGGAGCTGCTGAGGTTGTGGTTGGAGAAGCTGTAGTTGTGGTTGGAGCTGCTGTGGTTGTTGTTGGAGCTGCTGTGGTTGTGGTTGGAGAAGCTGTAGTTGTGGTTGGAGCAGCTGTGGTTGTGGTTGGAGAAGCTGTGGTTGTGGTTGGAGCAGCTGTGGTTGTGGTTGGAGATGCTGTGGTTGTGGTTGGAGCTGCTGTGGTTGTGGTTGGAGCTGCTGTGGTTGTGGTTGGAGCTGCTGCGGTTGTTGTTGGAGCTGCTGTGGTTGTGGTTGGAGCTGCTGTGGTTGTGGTTGGACCAGCTGTAGTTGTCGTTGGAGCTGCTGAGGTTGTGGTTGGAGAAGCTGTAGTTGTGGTTGGAGCTGCTGTGGTTGTTGTTGGAGCTGCTGTGGTTGTGGTTGGAGCTGCTGTGGTTGTGGTTGGATCAGCTGTAGTTGTCGTTGGAGCTGCTGTGGTTGTGGTTGGAGAAGCTGTGGTCGTGGTTGGTGCAGCTGTGGTTGTGGTTGGAGCTGCTGTGGTGGTTGTTGGAGCTGCTGTGGTTGTGGTTGGCGCTGCTGTGGTTGTGGTTGGTGCTGCTGTGGTTGTCGTTGGAGCATCTGTGGTTGTGGTTGGAGCTGCTGTGATTGTGGTTGGAGCTGCTGTGGTTGTGGTTGGAGCTGCTGTGGTTGTTGTTGCAGCTTCTGTGGTTGTGGTTGGAGCTGCTGTGGTTTTTGTTGCAGCTTCTGTGGTTGTGGTTGGAGCTGCTGTGGTTCTGGCTGGAGCTGCTGTGCTTGTGGTTGGTTCTGCTGTAGTCGTGGTTGGAGCTGCTGTGGTTGTGGTTGGAGCAGCTGTAGTTGTCGTTGGAGCTGCTGTGGTTGTGGTTGGAGAAGCTGTGGTCGTGGTTGGTGCAGCTGAAGTTGTGGTTGGAGCTGCTGTGGTTGTGGTTGGAGCAGCTGTGGTTGTGGTTGGAGAAGCTGTGGTTGTGGTTGGAGAAGCTGTGGTCGTGGTTGGTGCAGCTGTGGTTGTGGTTGGAGCTGCTGTGGTTGTTGTTGGAGCTGCTGTGGTTGTGGTTGGTGCTGCTGTGGTTGTGGTTGGAGCATCTGTGGTTGTGGTTGGAGAAGCTGTGGTTGTGGTTGGAGCAGCTGTGGTTGTGGTTGGAGAAGCTGTGGTTGTGGTGGGAGCTGCTGTGGTTGTGGTTGGAGTAGCTGTAGTTGTCGTTGGAGCTGCTGTGGTTGTCGTTGGAGCTGCTGTGGTTGTGGTTGGAGCAGCTGTAGTTGTCGTTGGAGCTGCTGTGGTTGTGGTTGGAGCTGCTGTAGTTGTCGTTGGAGCTGCTGTGGTTGTGGTTGTAGCTGCTGTGGTTGTGGTTGGAGAAGCTGTAGTTGTGGTTGGTGCAGCTGTGGTTGTGGTTGGAGAAGCTGTGGTTGTGGTTGGAGCAGCTGTGGTTGTCGTTGGAGCTGCTGTGGTTGTCGTTGGAGCTGCTGTGGTTGTGGTTGGAGCAGCTGTAGTTGTCGTTGGAGCTGCTGTGGTTGTGGTTGGAGCTGCTGTAGTTGTCGTTGGAGCTGCTGTGGTTGTGGTTGGAGCTGCTGTGGTTGTGGTTGGAGAAGCTGTAGTTGTGGTTGGTGCAGCTGTGGTTGTGGTTGGAGAAGCTGTGGTTGTGGTTGGAGCAGCTGTGGTTGTTGTTGGAGCTGCTGTGGTTGTGGTTGGAGCTGCTGTAGTTGTCGTTGGAGCTGCTGTGGTTGTTGTTGGAGCTGCTGTGGTTGTGGTTGGAGCAGCTGTAGTTGTGGTTGGTGCAGCTGTGGTTGTGGTTGGAGAAGCTGTGGTTGTGGTTGGAGCAGCTGTGGTTGTGGTTGGAGATGCTGTGGTTGTGGTTGGCACTGCTGTGCTTGTCGTTGGAGCTGCTGTAGTTGTGGTTGGAGCTGCTGTAGTTGTGGTTGTAGCTGCTGTGGTTGTGGTTGGAGCTGCTGTGGTTGTGGTTGGACCTGCTGTGGTTGTTGTTGGAGCTGCTGTGGTTGTGGTTGGAGCTGCTGTGGTTGTGGTTGGAGCAGCTGTGGTTGTGGTTGGTTCTGCTGTAGTCGTGGTTGGAGCTGCTGTGGTTGTGGTTGGAGCAGCTGTAGTTGTCGTTGGAGCTGCTGTGGTTGTGGTTGGAGAAGCTGTGGTCGTGGTTGGTGCAGCTGAAGTTGTGGTTGGAGCTGCTGTGGTTGTCGTTGGAGCAGCTGTGGTTGTGGTTGGAGAAGCTGTGGTTGTGGTTGGAGAAGCTGTGGTTGTGGTTGGAGAAGCTGTGGTTGTGGTGGGAGCTGCTGTGGTTGTGGTTGGAGAAGCTGTAGTTGTGGTTGGAGCTGCTGTGGTTGTCGTTGGTTCTGCTGTGGTTGTCGTTGGTTCTGCTGTAGTTGTGGTTGTTTCTGTTTTAGTTGTGGTTGTAGCTGCTGTGGTTGTGGTTGGAGCAGCTGTAGTTGTCGTTGGAGCTGCTGTGGTTGTGGTTGGAGAAGCTGTGGTTGTGGTTGTTGCAGCTGTAGTTGTTGTTGGAGCTGCTGTGGTTGTGGTTGGAGCTGCTGTGGTTGTGGTTGGATCTGCTGTGGTTGTGGTTGGAGCTGCTATGGTTGTGGCTGGAGCAGCTGTAGTTGTGGTTGGAGCTGCTGTGGTTGTCGTTGGAGCAGCTGTGGTTGTGGTTGGAGAAGCTGTGGTTGGAGAAGCTGTGGTTGTGGTGGGAGCTGCTGTGGTTGTGGTTGGAGCAGCTGTAGTTGTCGTTGGAGCTGCTGTGGTTGTGGTTGGAGCTGCTGTGGTTGTGGTTGGAGCTGCTGTGGTTGTGGTTGGAGAAGCTGTAGTTGTGGTGGGAGCTGCTGTGGTTGTGGTTGGAGAAGCTGTAGTTGTGGTTGGAGAAGCTGTAGTTGTGGTGTGAGCTGCTGTGGTTGTGGTTGGAGAAGCTGTAGTTGTGGTTGGAGCTGCTGTGGTTGTTGTTGGTTCTGCTGTGGTTGTCGTTGGTTCTACTGTAGTTGTGGTTGGAGCTGCTGTGGTTGTGGTTGGAGCAGCTGTAGTTGACGTTGGAGCTGCTGTGGTTGTGGTTGGAGAAGCTGTGGTTGTGGTTGGAGCTGCTGTGGTTGTGGTTGGAGAAGCTGTAGTTGTGGTTGGAGCTGCTGTGGTTGTTGTTGGTTCTGCTGTAGTTGTGGTTGGAGCTGCTGTGGTTGTGGTTGGAGCAGCTGTAGTTGTCGTTGGAGCTGCTGTGGTTGTGGTTGGAGCTGCTGTGGTTGTTGTTGGAGCTGCTGTGGTTGTGGTTGGAGAACCTGTGGTTGTGGTTGGAGCTGCTGTGGTTGTGGTTGGAGCAGCTGTAGTTGTTGTTGGAGCTGCTGTGGTTGTGGTTGGAGCTGCTGTGGTTGTTGTTGGAGATGCTGTGGTTGTGGTTGGAGAAGCTGTGGTTGTGGTGGGAGCTGCTGTGGTTGTGGTTGGAGCAGCTGTAGTTGTCGTTGGAGCTGCTGTGGTTGTGGTTGGAGAAGCTGTAGTTGTCGTTGGAGCTGCTGAGGTTGTGGTTGGAGAAGCTGTGGTCGTGGTTGGTGCAGCTGTAGTTGTTGTTGGAGCTTGCTGTGTGTTGTGGTTGGAGAAGCTGTGGTTGTGGTTGGAGAAGCTGTGGTTGTGGTGGAGCTGCTGTGGTTGTGGTTGGAGCAGCTGTAGTTGTGGTTGGAGCTGCTGTGGTTGTGGTTGGAGCTGCTGTGGTTGTCGTTGGAGCAGCTGTGGTTGTGGTTGGAGCAGCTGTTGTTGTGGTTGGAGAAGCTGTGGTTGTGGTGGGAAATGCTGTGGTTGTGGTTGGCTCTGCTGTAGTTGTGGTTGGAGCTGCTGTGGTTGTGGTTGGAGAAGCTGTGGTTGTGGTTGTAGCTGCTGTGGTTGTGGTTGGAGCTGCTGTGGTTGTGGTTGGAGAAGCTGTGGTCGTGGTTGGTGCAGCTGTAGTTGTTGTTGGAGCTGCTGTGGTTGTGGTTGGAGCTGCTGTGTTTGTGGTTGGAGAAGCTGTAGTTGTCGTTGGAGCTGCTGTGGTTGTGGTTGGAGAAGCTGTGGTCGTGGTTGGTGCAGCTGTGGTTGTGGTTGGAGCAGCTGTGGTTGTGGTTGGAGCTGCTGTAGTTGTGGTTGGAGCTGCTGTGGTTGTCGTTGGAGCAGCTGTGGTTGTGGTTGCAGCTGCTGTGGTTGTGGTTGGTTCTGCTGTAGTTGTGGTTGGAGCTGCTGTGGTTGTGGTTGGAGAAGCTGTAGTTGTGGTTGGTTCTGCTGTGGTTGTTGTTGGAGCTGCTGTGGTTGTGGTTGGAGCTGCTGTGGTTGTGGTTGGAGCTGCTGTGGTTGTGGTTGGAGGAGCTGTAGTTGTCATTGGCTGCTGTGGTTGTGGTTGGAGAAGCTGTGGTCGTGGTTGGTGCAGCTGTGGTTGTGGTTGGAGCAGCTGTGGTTGTGGTTGGAGCTGCTGTGGTTGTGGCTGGAGCTGCTGTGGTTGTGGTTGGTTCTGCTGTAGTCGTGGTTGGAGCTGCTGTGTTTGTGGTTGGAGCAGCTGTAGTTGTCGTTGGAGCTGCTGTGGTTGTGGTTGCAGCTGCTGTGGTTGTGGTTGGAGCAGCTGTGGTTGTGGTTGGTTCTGCTGTAGTTGTGGTTGGAGCTGCTGTGGTTGTGGTTGGAGAAGCTGTAGTTGTGGTTGGTTCTGCTGTGGTTATGACTGCAGCTGCTGTGATGGTCGTTGGATATGCTGTGGTTGTGGTTGGAGCTGCTGTGGTTGTGGTTGGAGCTGCTGTGGTTGTGGTTGGAGCTGCTGTGGTTGTGGTTGGAGCAGCTGTAGTTGTCGTTGGAGCTGCTGTGGTTGTGGTTGGAGATGCTGTGGTTGTGGTTGGTGCTGCTGTGGTTGTCGTTGGAGCAGCTGTGGTTGTGGTTGGAGAAGCTGTGGTTGTGGTTGGAGAAGCTGTGGTTGTGGTTGGAGCTGCTGTGGTTGTCGTTGGAGCTGCTGTGGTTGTGGTTGGTTCTGCTGTAGTCGTGGTTGGAGCTGCTGTGGTTGTGGTTGGAGCAGCTGTAGTTGTGGTTGGTTCTGCTGTAGTTGTGGTTGGAGCTGCTGTGGTTGTGGTTGGAGAAGCTGTAGTTGTGGTTGGTTCTGCTGTGGTTATGACTGCAGCTGCTGTGATGGTCGTTGGATATGCTGTGGTTGTGGTTGGAGCTGCTGTGGTTGTGGTTGGAGCTGCTGTGGTTGTGGTTGGAGCTGCTGTGGTTGTGGTTGGAGAAGCTGTAGTTGTGGTTGGAGCTGCTGTGGTTGTGGTTGGAGAAGCTGTGGTCGTGGTTGGTGCAGCTGTGGTTGTGGTTGGAGCAGCTGTGGTTGTTGTTGGAGCTGCTGTGGTTGTGGTTGGAGAAGCTGTAGTTGTGGTTGGAGCAGCTGTGGTTGTGGTTGGAGAAGCTGTGGTTGTGGTTGGAGCAGCTGTGGTTATGGTTGGAGATGCTGTGATTGTGGTTGGATCTGCTGTGGTTGTGGTTGGAGCTGCTGTGGTTGTGGTTGGAGCTGCTGTGGTTGTTGTTGGAGCTGCTGTGGTTGTGGTTGGAGCTGCTGTGGTTGTGGTTGGAGCAGCTGTAGTTGTCGTTGGAGCTGCTGAGGTTGTGGTTGGAGAAGCTGTAGTTGTGGTTGAAGCTGCTGTGGTTGTGGTTGGAGCTGCTGTGGTTGTGGTTGGAGCTGCTGTGGTTGTGGTTGGACCAGCTGTAGTTGTCGTTGGAGCTGCTGAGGTTGTGGTTGGAGAAGCTGTGGTCGTGGTTGGTGCAGCTGTGGTTGTGGTTGGAGCTGCTGTGGTGGTTGTTGGAGCTGCTGTTGTTGTGGTTGGTGCTGCTGTGGTTGTGGTTGGTGCTGCTGTGGTTGTCGTTGGAGCATCTGTGGTTGTGGTTGGAGAAGCTGTGGTTGTGGTGGGAGCTGCTGTGGTTGTGGTTGGAGTAGCTGTAGTTGTCGTTGGAGCTGCTGTGGTTGTCGTTGGAGCTGCTGTGGTTGTGGTTGGAGCTGCTGTGGTTGTTGTTGCAGCTTCTGTGGTTGTGGTTGGAGCTGCTGTGGTTGTTGTTGCAGCTTCTGTGGTTGTGGTTGGAGCTGCTGTGGTTGTGGTTGGAGCTGCTGTGGTTGTGGTTGGAGAAGCTGTAGTTGTGGTTGGAGCTGCTGTGGTTGTTGTTGGTTCTGCTGTGGTTGTCGTTGGTTCTACTGTAGTTGTGGTTGGAGCAGCTGTGGTTGTGGTTGGAGCAGCTGTGGTTGTGGTTGGAGAAGCTGTGGTTGTGGTGGGAGCTGCTGTGGTTGTGGTTGGATCTGCTGTAGTTGTGGTTGGAGCTGCTGTGGTTGTCGTTGGAGAAGCTGTAGTTGTGGTTGGAGCTGCTGTGGTTGTTGTTGGAGATGCTGTGGTTGTGGTTGGAGCTGCTGTGGTTGTGGTTGGAGAAGCTGTAGTTGTGGTTGGAGCTGCTGTGGTTGTTGTTGGAGATGCTGTGGTTGTGGTTGGAGCTGCTGTGGTTGTGGTTGGAGAAGCTGTAGTTGTCGTTGGAGCTGCTGAGGTTGTGGTTGGAGAAGCTGTGGTCGTGGTTGGTGCAGCTGTAGTTGTTGTTGGAGCTGCTGTGGTTGTGGTTGGAGAAGCTGTGGTTGTGGTTGGAGAAGCTGTGGTTGTGGTGGGAGCTGCTGTGGTTGTGGTTGGAGCAGCTGTAGTTGTCGTTGGAGCTGCTGTGGTTGTGGTTGGAGCTGCTGTGGTTGTTGTTGGAGATGCTGTGGTTGTGGTTGGAGCTGCTGTGGTTGTGGTTGGAGAAGCTATAGTTGTTGTTGGAGCTGCTGAGGTTGTGGTTGGAGAAGCTGTAGTTGTGGTTGGAGCTGCTGTGGTTGTGGTTGGAGCTGCTGTGGTTGTCGTTGGAGCAGCTGTGGTTGTGGTTGGAGCAGCTGTGGTTGTGGTTGGAGAAGCTGTGGTTGTGGTGGGAAATGCTGTGGTTGTGGTTGGTTCTGCTGTGGTTGTCGTTGGTTCTACTGTAGTTGTGGTTGGAGCTGCTGTGGTTGTGGTTGGAGCAGCTGTAGTTGTCGTTGGAGCTGTTGTGGTTGTGGTTGGAGAAGCTGTGGTTGTGGTTGGAGCAGCTGTGGTTGTGGTTGGAGCTGCTGTGGTTGTGGTTGGAGAAGCTGTAGTTGTCGTTGGAGCTGCTGAGGTTGTGGTTGGAGAAGCTGTGGTCGTGGTTGGTGCAGCTGTAGTTGTTGTTGGAGCTGCTGTGGTTGTGGTTGGAGAAGCTGTGGTTGTGGTTGGAGAAGCTGTGGTTGTGGTGGGAGCTGCTGTGGTTGTGGTTGGAGCAGCTGTAGTTGTCGTTGGAGCTGCTGTGGTTGTGGTTGGAGCTGCTGTGGTTGTTGTTGGAGATGCTGTGGTTGTGGTTGGAGCTGCTGTGGTTGTGGTTGGAGAAGCTGTAGTTGTTGTTGGAGCTGCTGTAGTTGTGGTTGGAGAAGCTGTAGTTGTGGTTGGAGCTGCTGTGGTTGTGGTTGGAGCTGCTGTGGTTGTGGTTGGAGCAGCTGTGGTTGTGGTTGGAGCAGCTGTGGTTGTGGTTGGAGAAGCTGTGGTTGTGGTGGGAAATGCTGTGGTTGTGGTTGGATCTGCTGTGGTTGTTGTTGGTTCTGCTGTGGTTGTCGTTGGTTCTACTGTAGTTGTGGTTGGAGCTGCTGTGGTTGTGGTTGGAGCAGCTGTAGTTGTCGTTGGAGCTGCTGTGGTTGTGGTTGGAGAAGCTGTGGTTGTGGTTGGAGCAGCTGTGGTTGTGGTTGGAGAAGCTGTGGTTGTGGTGGAAGCTGCTGTGGTTGTGGTTGGAGAAGCTGTAGTTGTGGTGGGAGCTGCTGTGGTTGTGGTTGGAGAAGCTGTAGTTGTGGTTGGAGAAGCTGTAGTTGTGGTTGGAGCTGCTGTGGTTGTGGTTGGAGAAGCTGTAGTTGTGGTTGGAGCTGCTGTGGTTGTTGTTGGTTCTGCTGTGGTTGTCGTTGGTTCTACTGTAGTTGTGGTTGGAGCTGCTGTGGTTGTGGTTGGAGCAGCTGTAGTTGACGTTGGAGCTGCTGTGGTTGTGGTTGGAGAAGCTGTGGTTGTGGTTGGAGCTGCTGTGGTGTGGTTGGAGAAGCTGTAGTTGTGGTTGGAGCTGCTGTGGTTGTTGTTGGTTCTGCTGTAGTTGTGGTTGGAGCTGCTGTGATTGTGGTTGGAGCAGCTGTAGTTGTCGTTGGAGCTGCTGTGGTTGTGGTTGGAGCTGCTGTGGTTGTTGTTGGAGATGCTGTGGGTTGTGGTTGGAGAACCTGTGGTTGTGGTGGGAGCTGCTGTGGTTGTGGTTGGAGCAGCTGTAGTTGTCGTTGAGCTGCTGTGGTTGTGGTTGGAGCTGCTGTGGTTGTTGTTGGAGCTGCTGTGGTTGTGGTTGGAGAACCTGTGGTTGTGGTTGGAGCTGCTGTGGTTGTGGTTGGAGCAGCTGTAGTTGTCGTTGGAGCTGCTGTGGTTGTGGTTGGAGAAGCTGTAGTTGTCGTTGGAGCTGCTGAGGTTGTGGTTGGAGAAGCTGTGGTCGTGGTTGGTGCAGCTGTAGTTGTTGTTGGAGCTGCTGTGGTTGT